GAAATGCGAAAAGGCAATCCTCAATCTGCAATCAACAGTACTGCGACGGCATCTTCTTCGAAGTGAATGATGCCACAATTGCTTTTTATGTATAATGCGATTGTTTTTGTTTATTCGTAAATGAGTGACTGGCTGTCGAACAAATCATTCGATGTACTAATTATGACCACTCAGTGAATTTTGCATCAGCACCAGCAATAAGAAAATTTTCATGTTTCAGTGGAATTTTTGGCGACCCAATTGTAACTTTTTCGTTCTAGGAAGTATTATTTGAAAAGCTGGAGTTTCGGAAGTCATCTGAAAGAAAGTTCAGTTCCCATTTTGAAACGAGTTAACTTCGAGGATTTTGTCATTTCTCGTTGGGCTGAATTTTTTTCGTTCCGTTCCCTGGTGCGAACAATGATTTTGAATGAATCGAGGCTTTTTTATGCATGCTTCATGCTTCACCGCTGTAGTAACCTTGCCTGAAATACCTATGAATTGTTCATTGGTCGTTATGTATTGTTTTTGAAATGTTGTTTTTTGTTGTTCAGAAATGGAAACGATGACTTTCGATGAATCCTTTTCTTGAAGATATTGTAAGGTGAAATAAATGAAGAAGATCGATTGACTGTAAATCTTTCATCAATTGTGTGCAAAATTCTCANTTGTAAGGTGAAATAAATGAAGAAGATCGATTGACTGTAAATCTTTCATCAATTGTGTGCAAAATTCTCAGTCGATCCATGTGATTTTGCCGCTTCAAATTACACGGCAGTAGTTGAAATGAAATGAAAATTGTTTTCGCATGTGATGATTGCTCATGCAACCGCTTCACTTTCAGACGGTTGAAGGATTCAATGTTGTTTTGATCGATCTGAAGAGGTTCTAAATCAGGCATAATTTTTTCGTCTGTAGAAACGTTCACTCAATGATTAGGTATCATATGATTGTAACGAATTTTTCGTTTGAAAACGTTCATCCTTCTTTCCTTTCGGCAATCGTCTCGTACGGTGCCACGTTATTTTTCAAATTTCCATCATGTTCTCCAAGAAACCCAAAGTTGCGAGGCGATTCACTGTCATTGACTGTTCTATGTGACACTTAAGAAAGTTGACCGATTGGGAGTGAAAAAATAATGAATGTTGTAGATCACTCCAAAGAATTCAGGTGTTACTAGCAGAGTACAATCGCTGAATTCTTATTACATCAAAGTAGGCTTTGTTGTTGGAAGACACAGTAACTGTGACCATTTGAAATGCTGAGCGTCTGCCTGTCGGCATAGGTAAGGTTTTAGTTTTCGTCATTTCAAATTGTCATCCTTTTTTAGAGGCCATCGAGAGATGACATTTCGTGAAATCGGTATGCTTCCCGAGTGAACTTTTTTCGAATTTCAGCAGAATACTTTTTGATCTCGCCCTGTGGACTCGAATTGTTTTTGCACCCTCAGCAGACTGTATAGGTATAGTTGTACGTTGGTGCGTTTCGCTTGAAAATTCTCATGCTAGGTTTTTGT